CGAGGCATCTGGATTGACTGTGTATTGTATCTAACAGAAATGTTTCATATGTGATGGTTACTTAAAGGGAGACTTCAAAATGAAAATTTGAGTAAAATCCTCGTAGTTTTTCTAAAATTTTCTGTCTAAAATCAATTCTTCCCTGCTAGTAATAATCAAAATGTAAAGTGTGATTTTATATTTAAGAGCATGTTTATATTTCCTCAAGTTTTCAAGTTACAATGTATGCCTACCTCTACAGTAGTAAGTGTTCCTTGATAAAATGCACGCTAAAGATGGGATAGTCTTTGAGCACACTTACTTTTCTCTAATTTTCTTTTTACCTTAAATTGCACCCAACTTTATAGTATTTGGGGTATATATAAACTTTACTCTTTGTATTTATAATAAAAAAAACAACAACAATCCTCTCAGCCACAGAGATGGATTTCATGGGTCTCTGGGCTGTTTTTTTGTAGTTTTTGGCTGTTGTTTTCTTTAATCTCAAGAGGTAAAGAGTAGGTACCTAGGCCTTTGGTTAAGAAATTATCGATTATCTTCTTAAGGTTCATGTTTCTGTCCCTTATTAAGGTAATGTAGATAAAATGTAATTCTGAAAACTTCAAGTCTACCACAATATAGTTTGAAATTCTTATAGTGAGCTCATAAAGACCTCTTTTTAGGTCTCTTCACTAATGCTTGCAGTCCTCTTTTCCCTTTGGCAGTTCATAAAGGTGTGGGATTTTTGGCCATCATTAAAGATCAATTAAGTGTCTGTCCCCTAATGAGTACGCAGGAAGAGCAGCTGGCACTGCAGAAAAAAATCAGGCTTGGTCCCTGCCCTCAGGGGTTTATATCATGCTAAGGTGGGTGGCTCAACTAAGGAGTATTAAGGCTCATTACTCTAATGAAATATTTAGAGCACCAATAGCTACTTTTCCAGCAGAAAGTCAGTTGAGGGCAGGAACTGTGACTCACTCAGTTCTACCTCCTGTAGATCATTTTCCATGTAGTAAGTTGGCAATAAATATTCATTAAATTTAACTGTATGTATGGAAACAGACTGTTTATTCCTCACACACCAGTTATCCCCACTTTTCTATTTCTGCTATTGGCACCATCATCTTTGTAGCTCCCCACATCCAAACACTTAGGTTATGTTTGATGCCTATTCTCCTTTGCCCTGCACATCCACTCAACTGTTGATTCCTGGTGAGCCTTTTATCTCAATTTCTCCTAAACCATTTTCTACCCTAGTTTGGGTTATTACCTAAGTAGCACAAACTCCTAACTGTTAGGCATTTTTTGGTGAGCGTGCCCAATGAGTTTTCCTGCTGCCAGCCCCAAATGATGCCCACACATTGTGTATCTCTTCAGGATCCTCTCCCAGCAATGGATCTCCTCTGCTCCACTTAGGCAACTGGGGCATTCCCTGTTTCCATGAGTCCTCCCACAATCCTCCTCTCTGTCCTCAGGGTTCTAAGCTTCCTCCACTGGGAATTTCTTCCCTGTCTGTCTCCACATTTCAACATTCTGTAGTCTGTAACATTCAGGGGATTTGGTTGCAAGAAAAGCAAATACCTCTGGCTACCTTAAGTAGAAAAGAAATTTACTGGAAGGATAGTGAGTAGCCTGCAGCAGGGCTAAAAAGGCTAGGAGAAGAGGAAGAACTAAGCATGTTAATGACCTCTGTAGGAAAATTCTGGGTCATCTCCCACAGGAACAAACTGAATTTCATCCTCCTTCCTCTGGGCCACCCTCTCCAGTTTCAAAGTCCTGAGTGGGAGGGTTTATTGGCCAGTCCCAGGCCATTTACTCTTAAGGGTCCTTTGAGAGCGGAGAGATGGAGGTCCCCTCTGTCTCTTGCCAAGGTCAGGCAGGGGGCTCCCTAAAACCAGAGGGAGGACAGCCAAATTATGGTAGCTTCCCATGGTGTCATTTCTCAAGGTTCATTTCTAATGCCACCACCTAAAACTTAATGCCACTTCTGATTCTCAGAACATGTTTTGTTTGGTACTTTTCATATTTAGCATTATGTTAGTTTGTATATTTGTCTTCCATTTCCTTCAAGATTTAAAACTCAATTTCTCCTGAATTGATTCTTATGCCTCACAAATAGAAATATACTCAATATGTTCAATTGAATGGAGGATTAAGATAGAAGGTCATGAAACAGCCACTGTGTTTTTCATGTGCCAACTACACAGATGAGACATGTTTACATGATCTCATTTAACCTTCACAACTCTCTGTACTTTCCCATCCAAGGCCCAGAAAGGTCAAGTGATCTGGAGCCACAGGCTTGTAGGCAGGCTCTGGGCCTTTTAAGTTTGACTGCTAAGCACCCTCAACCTCATCTTGTGTTTTTCCATAAGTCCAAGGATCAGTGAGGCAAGTGGGTGGTGGGGAGCGGTTGCTGAATGGAACTCTGAAGGGAGAGGAGGGGGACAGGGAATTCCTTACTGTGTCTGTACTGTCAGAGGAGGAAATTAGTAGGACTGAGGGGCCACAGCAGAGAGAGCAACTGAAGCAAATAGCTTATGTTGGAGCAGAGTAAACAAAGAGATGGTTATGGTAAGACTGAATTTGGAAAATAAATCTTAGAATTTAATGTGGATATGATTTTGGGGGAAAGGTTTATGCTTTTTGCACTTTTAATATGTCATTATTGAAGAAGTTTTGTTTTTTTTTTTAAGATTTTATTTGTTTATTTTTAGAGAGGCAAGGGAAGGAGAAAAAGAGAGAGAGAAACATCAATGTGTGGTTGCTGGGAGTCATGGCCTGCAACCCAGGCATGTACCCTGACTGGGAATCGAACCTGTGACACTTTGGTTCGCAGCCCGCACTCAATCCACTGAGCTACGCCAGCCAGGGATTATTGAAGAAGTTTTAATGGTAAAACAAACATGGACATGCTAATGGAATAGAATGCAGAAACATACATTTCTGCATTCACTATGCCTGGGGAGAGTTCGGAGAATGGGGAGGAAGAAGTGAATTATAATGAGTTTTCTTCCAGGAGCTGAGGTGCCTGGTGGTCTCTTAGCCAAACCTGAGACGCTGGGAGGAGGAGTTAGTTTAGGGAAGAGATTAAGTTTTATTCTGAATGTGGTGAGTTTGAAGAAGTGATAAGCCAGGCAGAGGGACACCAGATAAACCAGGCAGAGGGAAGCTCTCTAAAGCTACAGACCTGGGAGGCAATAACTAAACATCCAGGCTGGAAGCATGCAAAACATGATCAACTCTCTTCAAAATAAAAATGTGCATAGCAGAATAAAAAAAAAAAGGGCCACAACTGCTTTGGGATATTACTGTCAGGAGTTGGGAGGACAATATGGCCTACAAAAGAGATGGGCAGGTCAGAAAGGTAGATAAATGAAAAGATGACCAAGTTTCAGGATGTAGCAGAAATGCCATGTGCTTCAGAAAACTGTAGGATAAAGACTGAGAAAGAGACTTTGGGTTTTAGATAGAGAATGTCTTTGATGACTTTACAAAGAATCATAGAAGGAAAGTCTGGGTCAATGTTGTTATACCTATTTTGAATGAACTAATTTAAAATTGGGCCAGAGATTGACTATACTTCTGCTTTCCTTATGATAAGAAAGGTTTTCACAAAAGGATGGACCGAGATAACTTCTTTTCCAAGGTCAAAGAGAGAAGGAGGCTGTCCCTATTCCTTGGTCTTGGACCCATCCCTGCTCAGGACAATGCACTTCCTTCCAGCTAGTGACTTGTTGAGGGCTCCCTACTGCCAGAGAGTGTGACTGGGACTTACATAGGAGCTAGGTCCATATTATCTCCCCATTCAGAGGATTTCAGATAGGTTAAGAAAGGTTCTACATTTGAAGGAGATAGTCAAAACTCAACTGTGACTTTAAATTATACTGGTTCTTGTTGCCCTTGTCTGGTACTTCCTTTTGGGAACAAGGCAGGGGATAAGTGATTCCAATGCTACTGCCATGTCACCTGGGTAAATTATTATTTTCCTAATAATAATGAGAAGCCAGGGGCCTAAGAAAGGATCTCATTAACATGGATCCGGGCTATTCTGCCAGGACATCAGAGTCATTTGAATAGCAGGATTTCCTTCTGGGAAGCCATATGGGAAAGAGATTGCAGAACAGACATCTGGATGCATGTGCCTGTGAAAGCGAAGCTTGTTTCTTGGGGAACTTCCTCTTGGGGTTAATATTTCAAGTTCGTTTATAGGTAATCCACTACGTGTGATCAGGTGACCAGACCAGTACCACTACTGGTGACAATACTAGAGACAACTTCTTCCGGGACCCACATTCCTGCAGCTCCTCACAGGATTCTGACTTGGGGTTGTGCTTCAGCTGGACTCCACCCATGGGAGGCAGCAGAGGTTGGGTTTCCTCTCCTCCTCTTCAGAAGAGCTTCCTACGAGAATGTTGGAGTAAAAAAGTGGCTGGTTGGGAAAGTAGGGAGAAGGCAAATAAATAATGCCCACAAGCAATTACAGAGAGGAAGTGACATTTTTATGGAAGTCACTTTCTGATGGACAACAGCCCTGCTTTGCTGAGTGCCGTGGGAATACTTCCGGGAGGGGGGCGGTCGCCAAACTACTAGAGCGTCTTGATAAGAAAATCAAACAAACAAAAAGGGGATGGCAAGACCACCCACCGGTCACCGGAGGCTGGAAGTTGTGGCCTTTATTTCCTCTCTTTCCTTTCAACCTCATCCTAGCCTCCCACTCCCCATGCAAGTCATTTTAGGGGTGGGGACCCTTCCACCCCACGGCTCCAACCCCCGCGCTGCGCTCCAGGAGGCCGTATGGCTGCGCGCCCCGCAACCTGACCGTCCCCAAGCGCGGTCCTGCCCTCGAGTGGCCTCCAGCCCGGACGCGTGAGGGCCTGGAGCGGCCAGCCCGCCCCCAGGTGGGTCTGTGCCCCTACCGCGCGGGTGGGCCGGGTGGGGCCGGCCCCTTGGCGTTGTCACGGCACAGCTGGGAGGAGCGGCGGGAGGAGGAGGAGGAGCAAGGAGGGGCGGGCGCCACACGCCGGGGGAGGGGTCGCCGGCGCCGTGGGGTTCGTCAGGCCCGAGCCGCGCGGTGGAACGGGCGGCGGGGAGGCTCGGCGGCGGGAGGCTCGCGGCGCCCGGGCCGGCGGCGTCCGGCCGGGCCGGCAGCGTCCGCGGAGCGGCGGGAAGAGGTAGCGGAACAGACAAAGAGCGGCTCCTGGGAGGGCGCGGCCGCCGCCCCGGGACCCGCGCCGCCGCCCTCCGGCCTCGGCTGGCGGTGGGCGGCAAGGTAAGCATTGCCGGAGGGCTCAGGGCGGGGGCTGCAAACTTGGGCCGCTCCGAGGAGTTAGAGCGAGGCGGGCTCACGGGGCGGAGCACGGCGCACCCGAGAAGGGGCCAGGGAACCAGTCCCTTCCGCGCCCCACCAGTGCCCTGGGCCCTGCCGCGGCCTGGCCCGGTGGCCGCAGGCTGCCGGTACCTCCTGACACCGCACCTTCCCCTCCGCCTGCCCGGCGCCCGCCCCCCGGGAGCGGGTGCTGGGGAGAGGGGCGCCGCCGAGGGCGCGGGCGGGGGTAGGGGCCTGGTCTGCGAGTTCCCTGGACCAGAGACCCCCGCGCGCGCTGGGAGCGCCTGGCCTGCGGGCTGGCGGCGGGCCCGGAGCTCTACACGGGACCGTGCAGTGGCCGAGGTTGCCGGTGCGCGAGCCCCTGGGAAGAATAACCGCGAATCGCCCGGTCCCAGCGCAGGGACGCGGGAGGCCGAGCGCGGTCTGCAGAACTTACTGTGTTTATTGGAACTATTTATGATCCTCCACAAAGGTGCTGTCCCATTGCATAAAGGAGATTCTCTCCTGGGCGAAGGCGCTTTGTGCTGGTTCTCAGGCTCTGTGTCCTGTCCCAGATTTACAGGATTCATACAACCATCTAAAACAAAGTTTCTCATTACACTCTGCCCTCTCGGTTTATTCAGGGCAATTTAACCACCAAGTGGTTCTGGGAGAAATTGGTGTGTGACTTTTAAGACATTGACTGGAACTCTCCTGTAAGTGCAGTTAGCGTGTAATTCTGTGGAGGGGTTTAATTTGAATAACGCTGTAATTTGTACACAATAACGATCGTGTTGGAAGGTCTGCGAAGGATGCTAGGGGTCCCTGGCTGTTGAACATCAAGCTCCTGGCTTTAGCATTGGGGCAACTTCAGGGACAAAGCAGGAACGTGTGTGGAGTCCTTGCCGCCTCCTCGCTGCCTCTTCAAAAACAGTTCAGTTGACAGTTTCCCCTTTATTTGGCTTTGTTTATTTTGCCAACAGGTTTAAGGCTGGGTCTGCCAAGTTTGCCTCTTATGATGGGGTGAGCAGACCCCAGTGCTAGGGCTGAGGAGCCTAAACCCTCACACAGGCCCATTCTTTCCTGACCCAAAAGGAAACTGAACCAAGGGAGGCCCGTGGGCGTGGCTTGTCTGGGTCGCACAGGTAGGGAAAGCCCTTCCTGTTCCAGGCCCAGCTCTGGGTTTTCTCCCACTTCTCCGAAGGGAATTTGTTAGGAATGAGAGTAATTTGGGGTGACTTTTGTATTTTTGATGTTACTAACAACAGTGCTTTTCAAGCCTTAAAATGACAAAAAAATGAAATTAACCTGGGCTGCTTTAGCCTATCATAACAGATCTAAACTTTGTTCCTGAACACTCCTTTCCTAGTGTTCCTAGATAAACTGGTAAATTAGTAACAGGATTCAAGCACCTGAGGCGTTTATCTAAAGAGAATGGCAGTCCGTGCAAGAGTGTAGAAGAAATGGACTTCCTGCTGAGATTGTGCTAGAGTTGCAGTTTTTAGGTTTTTGGAACAGGGATTTCCCAGAAACAGGTGCTAACCATGCTTGTGAAGCAGTGACAACAAGGGAAAATCCTACCTTAATATTTCTCTCCTTGAGGTTGGTTAGATGTAGTTTTGATGGAAGAAGGTGGCAGGATCTTAATGGGCTTCCCACTATAGCTACTTGAGGCTGAAATTGAGAACTTTAAGTAGTAGTAAGCTTCTGGAGAACCTTGACTCAGCTTGCTCTCCTGGAAGCCCCACCAGGGCTCAGAGCTTCTCAGCTGCCACATAAACACTCACCAACATTGATCATAGAACAAAGCATGAAATTGGGTGGCAAATTGCCTTCCAGAGAATTGACTTGCTGCGCCACTCCCTCTGCCCACTTGTGGAGAAACTAGCACTTTTTAAGTGAGTGGGGCTGGTTTAAGGTGCATTCCAGGTAGCTGTCTCAGTTTTCAGGCTTTGTGTTCTGTTTTACTATGTATCACATACTTAAATTCTCTTCATCCTGCTCTCTTGGGCCCTGCCACATTCCCAACCTCTGTTATTTGCATTGGCAGGATTATCAAGGCTTTCCCACAAACAGATATTATATACACAGTATTTGAGAAAAGAGCTACAAATATACCAGAAACTTTCCTTGCATGTGCACAAATTGGATAACCTTTTAAAATACCATAAAGACTCCCTGATTGCCCAGAATGACCTGAGTCCTTTACTTGTTCTCTCACATTAGGTTAATTTGCCTTGGTGAGATGAGGCTATATTGCTCTCTGGGACACATAAGCTGACTAACCTGCAGTGTGCTCTCAGGGAAAGGGCTCCGGACATCCATCTCTGCCTTAAAAAAATGAGGCTGACTGGCTGAAAAGCTGAAGATTGCTTGCAGGGACTGGGAGGGCAGTGAACAGTGTTTGGAGAAACTAGTAGTAAGCTAATGTTTGAAGAAACTAGTAGTAAGCTAACTTTTTTTCCCACAAATGAACTGGAAACTCCCCAGAAGTCATCCTAGAGGCTTAGGAAATTAGTTTTCCCATCTGGAGGGTTTGCAAATGGGGCTTTCGAATTGCTTCTCTTTCCTAAAATGAATGATGGAAACCCTCTGTGGCATGTTTTCAAAGGGCCTAAGCTAAAAAGGATATCACGTAGCATATTGTTGAATGTTTGAGCTAAGGCAACCTAGAAAGCGGTCAAGACAGCCTTTTAATGGATTATCAAAAATATGCAGCTAAAGTAAAAATAATTTCTTATTTTTTAGGCCACTTTAGTAACACAATTTAAAAAATTAGACTTTTTTCCTGTGTTTCACTTTGAACCAGTCCCAAAGTATGTATATTTATGAAGGTATAATCAGCATCAGCAAGTTATACCCTTCCCCCAGCACACACAAACACACAGGGTTGACCACAGTCTGTCCTGAGGCTTCTTTCTGTTTGTGCCTCGCACACATGGGTGCCCAGCAAACCCTGACTGAACCAATGGATATTACATTCTGAGCCCGTTGACTTATTAGGGCTTTCGGTTCCTATGGAGAAGGAGTAATAAATGAGCTCCAGAATCCTTGTCAAACCTGTGATTAGAACCTCTTTGACATGGTGGAAGTTTTCATCCCCAGGATATATAGATAATGGGAGAATTTGGTCTGGTGGCTTCTCTATTTGGTAAATTCTGTCAAATGGATCACTTTTGTCCTTAACCTAACCTTAAAAAAAAAGAATAAACAAAAGTAAAACAAAAAACAAACCCCACTGTATAACCAGCTGATGGGTTTGCTAAATACGTTACTTTTCAGTAGATGGCCTGTCTGTCCCTGTCAACCTGCACTGGAAACTCTGGGCAAAGTATTGTTATCTTGGCCTGGTAAGTTAGTTATTTAGTGTTTAGTGTCACCTTTCTTTATATCTTTCGTATTTTAATCTTTTTAAGAAAGGGAGCTCCAAGTGTACTCAATTTAAATATTGCAATTTCCGCTTTTAAGACAGCTGGTCAGTGGTTAATGAAGATCTAAAATGCCATAGATAAAAATTAAAGATGCTAATGCTGGTGTGGTAAATTATAGTTTACAAATTGCTTTTCACATACACCATCATATTTAATATTTGAAATGATTTGGTAAAATTAGCTATGTCCTTATTTCGGTGTGAGGAGACTAGAGCTTGGAGAGTGCCAAGGATGACAAATCTTGAACTTGGGTGTAAGTCCTTTCTTTGGCACCGTGTACCCCTGCTAAGCAGGCATCAGATAAGGAACACCAAAATGTTGGTGGGTAGAGTTATTTTTATGAGGCTACTGATCTACTAGCATGCCCAGATGAAGCAGCGTGTCATAGACCTCGTGCTTTTGCTGTGCTGCAGATGTGAATGCATGTTGGCGGCAGCTGATTCTACATTTTGGTCAACTTGACGAGGATGAGCCATTTCAGGGAGCAGACAGCAGCAGGATCAGTAAACTTTTGTCCTTCATTGTTAGGAGCCAGCAAGTTGAATGTTTATTCCTGTTTTGTGTGCCCCTTGGTGAGCTTGAGCTGCCCTCACAGAACACCATAGACTGAATGTAAAACAGAAATCTATCTCTCTCAGTTTTGGAGGCTGGAAGGTCCAGGATCAGGGTGCTGGCATGTTCAACTATTAGTGAGTCTCTGTTCCTGGCTTGTACATGGCCACCTTCTCGCTGGGTCTTCACATGCACATTCTTTTCTAGTGTCTCTTCTTATGAAGACACCAGTCCTGTTGCATCAGAGTCCCACTGTTAAGATCTCATGTAACTTAATTAACCCTTTGAAGGCCCTCTTTCCAAATACAGTCACATTGGGAGTTAGGGCCCAACTTATGAGTATTGGTGGAGAGGGCAGTTCAATTCGTAACTCTGATCAAAAACAAGGCTGGTTATTTTACGAAGTCCTGTTGCTTCCTTCACCTAGATTTGAATCCATGTATTTGAGGACACCAGCCAGGGCTTGTGACAGAGCACTTGGGAGTAAGGAGGGAGTAGTAGCTCACTGTTTGCCAGAGAACCTGGAAACAGAGAAGCAGCCTTGGCATTGGGCTTCCAGGCACTGGTCAGGTTTTAAGTAGAATGATGGAGCGATAACAGTGTTGACTTAATTCCATTTATGGATGCTGCCCCTTAATGTGTGTGGCATGTTAACACATTGGTTCAACTGCAGGCATTTTGTTTTTGGATTAGGGTCATGATATATAATATGAGATCTGTAGAAAATGTTGGATTTTTGGTGGACATGGAGGTGTATCCTGGTCCTGGATGAAGAGAGCAAAGTGAGAGGGCAAGGCTGGTGGCCCCCTAGGGCAGAGAGGCCATCCAGTCTGGGCTGGCTGTTGCTGTGACCGAAGTCTTCGCCATGGGAGTGTGTGTCCCTTCAGTGGGTGTGCCTGGCAGTGCCTGGTAAAGTATACCTTGAGCAGTGCATGAATGTGTCTGACCTAGGCCAATATAAGTGGGTCAAGATGATTTCAC